ATATATAAATTTATACCCCTACAAGTCCACACGATAAGTACATTAGGCAGAAAGAATTTCGATTAAATAATAAACAAACTTGTGAACTAAACAAAAACTCTGTACCGTAGCTCCATTTTATCAAGATTATAACTTTAGGAAACTGATTCATATGGTAAATCTAAATCCGTATAACCGTGTCTAAATGAATAATTTCTACATAAGACCGAAACCACTGTCATTAGAAGAACGAACAAATGTATAAATTCTATAATTTCCACAGAAACACGAGCTAACAAAAACTTGCTGTGTAATTTTTAATAATTCAAAAATATTAAATGGATTGACTTTGAAATTCAATTCTTGCTTTTAATGAACAGAATTTGCTGACAAGCTTTATCTATATAATCTTTAGTATTCATAGACTTCTCAAAGCATACGCAACACGTTGTGCAATAAAATGATTAAGAATACGATACTGGCCTTATTATTAAGACGACTGAATTATCTGCATTCCTAAACATCGAAACCACGTCCGCATTGGCTGGTCGTGCAAGGGGGTGCAGCACAGATGTACATCAACTCGACTTGATAGCTCAGGTTCATCCTGAAACCTCTGTAGCTCTAAAAGTGAAACCCTGACAAAGACCGTCATGATCTCCAGCTGCGTATTTGTTTTCCATCAACGCCATCCTGCAGATACTGCCTATGACGAATATTATCACAACTTCTCGCCAAACAAATCCGTGTCTCCATTGATATAAATGTGTTCAATTTTAGTCGTTTAGTTTAACAAACAACAAAAATCAGAATTCACGCGCATTATGTGGGTATATGTGAATCTCTGTCCTTTAATTAACGAACGAATGCCAGTTCAAAACACAACACAAAGTTAATCAAGTCCAATCATCAGAAAAATATACTCCACATGACTCCACATGGGCATTGCAAAATCTGCACATGTGAATAACACGCACGTCTATCACAAATTGTGGGCAACACCCTCGGTTAAGTAAACAAAAAATAATTTCAAACAGCACAAATCTTGCAAATTGTGACAATAAACAACAAATGATGGAATAAGAAAGCACTTCTCTTGGTTGACTATAACGATCACAAAAAATTGTAATTTCTTCAAAATAGACGTGCTTCATGTTAGCGGTGGTGAGCGCGCGAGTGTGAATGACTCGCTGAGCGAACCACGTGACCTAACACATTCTATTACAATTAATCCCTCAGGCAAGGCGTGGATCTGAGAATTTTCACAATTTACCAACGTAAATGTTTCCGGAAACCTCCAAACAAATTATCGCATTAAATACATAAATACAATTATTATTCTAATAATTGTTGTTTTATACCGTAATATGGCAATTTTAGAGTTATCTGGCTTCGAAAAAATAAACTTTGTAATTACTACCTAGACCAATCGAGATGGTGAACTTTTTTGAAATTTCAAAATTTGGTGACTTTTTACATTTACTTTCATTTACTTGAATGAAAAGGAAATCCCTAGGACAGAAGTACAAAAAATATGGAAAAAATTTAATAATTTAGCGATTTTCCAACAAATTCCCGTAGGGTCCAATAATAAAGTTTGACAACATTTAAGATGACCCACTAAGAAATCGGGGTGGTAAACATTTTTTAATCCTAAAACAATAAATATAACATTAAAAATTAATTGTCAAAAAATTATCAAAATCCCTAGGGCAGAAATAATTAGACTCGGCCTCGTTAAATAACTTTTTTATAATCAGTATCAATAATAAATACTAAAGTATCCCCTTCAACAATAACAAACTTTAGCCAAAGACCGCCCTTGACCAGGAAAACAACTACTGAATAATTTTATTTGGATATGTCTGCACTTCCTTATGTATAGATAATTTTGTTAAAAGGTTGTCTTCATATTGAAAATGTTGAAAATATGATAATGTATTCAATTTTTACTTCTCATATCATTTTAAGATTCAACAATCTGTCTTACATATAACCATTCGATTTCAATGACGTCATGGCGTAGTGGTATGAATACGGAATTGTATAAAGTATAATGATCGTGAGTTCGAGTCTCACAGTTTTTCATGTTTGTGTTTTTTTTCTGTGCATCTTTTCTATGTCTTTTTCTTCTTTATGATATAAAAAATGTGAGAAATATATAATGCAACACAACACCTTAAAAGTATCTCGGGAACAAACAGTTCTAAATTATTTTAATGACCCAAAGTCACAGCTGTTAGCTTGTCTTATTTTTTTTCAGATTTTCTAAATCTTTTATTTAGAATAAAGGTAGTGAACAAGTTAAACGATTGTCATGTAACAAACTGGCAACTTTGAAAATATTAAACTGGTTCGCAAATGATAACATGCATGCAGTTTAATCTTGAATTGAAAAGGTTCATGTATCTATAAATAGAAACAGGTGATTTCCTTATAAATACTTAAATCTGCTGTGTCCTTGGTAAGACAGCTATGGCTCATTGAAATGTTCTCTGCTGCTCCGTAGTGCTAAAAGAAGCGTATAGAACCCAAATTTTTTCTTACATTTTTTATTAAGCTTTGTGTGAAGATTCTAAAAATATACTTTACATAAAATTTTCAATACTTCAACAGGAAACAATCTACAAGCCATATTTTTTTCAGCAAACCATTTTTGATATAAATTATTACCCTTGGGATGGTATTCAGTCTTTTTATAAAAAAAAAATACATAAAAGTCTTAACTGATTTTCCTTCTTGTAGGTTAATGTACATTTCTAAAATTGAATCCCTTGAACAGAAAGAAATAAAACATGATTGAATTTCTTGCTTCAGTGTGCAATATAGAGCCGATTTGAAAGTCTTTTGTATGATTTTATATTGTATTACTGATCTTCTTTATTTGTCGGTAAAAAAAAGTGTGGCAAGCTTCGTTATCCATCATTAAACATGCATCATATATTGTCACCACGACCTCCTATTTGTACTGTCTTTATTTTATTGCAAACCATATCCCAGTCCTACAATTATACAGAAGACTGGTTATTTTATAATAAGAATGTAGTTTCTTTCATATCATTATAGAATTTGATTTTTTGGTGTTATGTTTATTTGAATTTTGTACCACCATTCTTATGTCTATTCAGCTATGAAACAAATATAATTCATTTTATTTCAATATCTGTTGATTTATCAATGAAGAATAAGAAAGTGTGTGCCAAGAAAAAAAGAATGCGTATGTCATGTAATTAATGAAGTTCTCTCGTGTTGGTATTAAGAGAGAATTGCCCTCCAGATCACAGTTGTACATTGAAATCAAAACAAATCAATTACTCTAAACAGGTATTTATTCCATGATGCAAACAAAGCCAATGCATGGAGATAATAATTAAGAATTAAAAAATGCTCCGCAAGTTTGAGAAAAGAAAAACTTTCAATATGATATTTTAACATCAAAACAGTATTTTAAGAATGAATTTGTGTCTGAAAAAGTTATGTTTTGTACAAGTATCCTGATGAAGTCAAAATGTTCAACACAAATAGCAATTCAAGATAATTAGGTCACCTTTAAATGAAATACCGTATTTGATTTGAGCGGTTATACATGTAGTTGAGACTTATTTTACTCTATTAAAATGCCCCCTTTTAATCCAATATCATATCCCATGCAATGTGTGTACATGTAGGTTTTGTGTGGAGGTAACTGCATGAAACTGATCTTGAAAAATTCTTCACTGTTTTGTAAGATACACAATGCTTAATAGCATATTATTTCTTATATTGTTTGTGCACAGGCTGCGCTGATGTACAAGAGAATGATCCCTGTTCTGTATACTGTAAAAGCACAACTATTCGTGTGGGATAAAAATTTGATTATTTCGTTGTTAACAATTATTAACGAAATTAAATCCCATACGAATTTTTATATGACTATATATTGAATAATTTTACTTTCAATACAACAAAATTAAATGCCCATGAAACTACTTTTTGATGACAAATCAACAAAATTTTATCCCCACGAAAATTTGTGCTTCTACAGTATTCAGATGATTATAAAAAACAATTCAAGTAATTTAAAATGTAAATTATTATTTATTTTATTACTTTTGTAACGTAATATTATTTAATTAATTACATGTCTTTGAAAGCCTGTAATTTAATTTAAGAAATAGTCAAAGTAATTGTAATTTAATCAATTACTTTTTAAAGTAATTGAACCCACCCCTGGTCCTACATATAGTAAATAGATCATACAATAGCAAATACAGATTTTTCTGTACAAAACAGATTTCTGCTCACTTTTAGCTATAGTTTATTAAATTGATTGGAAACTATGTGGTAAAGTATCATCAAATAGTCATTGTTGATAGAAATTAAACTTGTTGCATACACATCGTTTATTCCTTAAAACGTGGGATAGTGAATTTTTGAAGCAATGGGTTGTGTGTATATTTTTCATTCTTGAAATTTTAAGGATTTAGGAAAGAGTTAGGTTCACTTTATGCATAAAATGGCCCTGTCCTTATATCATTTAATAAACTATCACCCTCTTTCCTATTTCATGTTTCAAAATAGAGACTTTGTGCCTTCATTTCATATATTAAAATTTCTTTTTGAGAATATAAGTATAGCCAAACGGGCTTTGAGAAAATGCAATGTTTTTGAATTCTGCAGAAAACATGCGTATTTGACTACATGTGTACCTTCAGCAAAAAATTAAAATATGGTTATTAATCTTAAGAAATAGATCTTTCATTCAGTAATTGCATTTTTTGTATCAGAGGTTGTGCTCTATATGAGATTTTGAAAAAAATCTTCTAATGTTAAACAATTTTCATAGTAATTTTCATGATATCTGGTAAATGACACATTTTGTGGCATCATTATCTACATAGCTCATAAAATGACAAAAATAATGTTTTTCAATATTGTTTTAAAAACCTCATCTTTTCCAGTTCATATTTATTTAATTGACAAGACGATTTATGATACTTATTATTTGTTTATTTATTTTTTCCTTTTTTTGTTTTTCATAATTACAACATCAATCCAGAGAAAGAAGAATATACGTGGTTTACAGACGCTGTTCCAGAAAAACATTTAATCGAGGCCTTGTCTCCTTTTTCCATTCTTACAACAACCATTTTACTGCACAACATATGGATACCATGATTATTATCATGACAATTGTTGTACATCTTAATTTGACCATTTAGATAAAGAGCGGTGTAAGCGGATTTACTGTACACCTTCAATATTGTCCAGTCAAAGATGTACACACCCGGGGCGGTGAAAACCCCTTTAACTGCGTTAAAACCTCCTCCAATATTCAGATAAACGTCTCCAAACATGACGATGTTCCCAGTACTTACTGCCTGGACACTTCCGTTGGCTTTAGCATTGAATGCAATAACAGTGTTTCCTAGGAATTGAAATTGAAAAAAAACTCTTAGTTTCTTTGATATAATATTAATGCATGTTAATCTACAAATAAATATCGTAAGATTTATTCCATTTACTTACTATTCTCTGGCTTATTTTTGCAATTATCCTTGACATATCCAACAGCCACGCATGTTTTGGCTATACTGTCATAGTCGTCCCTGAAAGATTTAAGGCTGGGCCGTGGTGATACCTTCTCAGTAGCTGAGTTGTCAAGAATAGCACTCAATCCCACAACAAATATTAGGATCTGCATTCTATATTAAAACGATAAAAAAGATAATTTTGTAACTCTAAATAGTTTGCCATCAATCTTTTAAAGTACCGAAATTTTTCATGCTATTTTTTATCTTATTTTAATACGGTACCATAAATGCTTAATACTATTGGAGTGAAAATTTATTTATTTCATTTAGGACAAAGTAAAAATATATAGATTTTACTTTTTTTCTTTTTTGTGGAGCTATTTTTATTTCAATCCTCTATAGAAACATTGTAGCTAAGCACCTAGGTCTATATTAATTTTTATTAATATTAAGTTATCATTTAATTATTATCATGGAAACTATCACGTTATCCTTTAGTTATTATCAACGAAACAACTAAACAAAAGTACGTGCCTCACCTGTTTTAGTGCCTTAGATTTTTTTCTAACATTAGTAGAAGATGCTACATTCTATTTATCGTCACCTTATATATTTAAAACGAACATAGCGTGATATACTACAATTTGGTAACATATTTAAGGAATAAGGTATCATTTTTTGAGTTTTATTGAGATGTAAAACGGGTTGGTCATCAACCCGAAGTGCTTTATGGAAGATTTGATCATGTGCCAACCCGTTTTACATCTCAATAAAACTCAAAAAATGATAACTTATTACTTATATTTACATTTGTGACTTATTCATACTTTATATTTGCCTGATTGTTACTTTGAACGTGTGAAATGCGTTAATTTTTCAAACCCAACGGCATGTATGTAATCCACTAAACGCGCGCCGACCCTTTATGACGTCACAGAGAAATTACGTCAAACGTTTATCCAAACGTACATCTATGACCTATTGACCCCATACCTGTATTTATACAGTTATAAAAACGCTTGCCTTCAGTAGTGTTTTATAAAGGAAAACATTTGGAAATGTAAATATTGATAAATATTAATGATAAAACTTTAATATGTATTTCTTAACTTTATTTAATTTTCTGAAACCTCTAAAACATTTATTTCATAGAACGTCCTTCAAGCGTTTTTTGCAATGAAACCCAAAGAATATCACTGTAATTTGGTAAAAACGCATTCACAATGGGGTAATTATTCAATAATTGCAAGATCCTTCAAGCATGTCCGAGTCATATAAAGAATTTATGGTGTTTACATGAAATTTTCCCACTAAAACAACGTATAAGCAGCTTTCAGTGTCTGGTGATCTCAACTATGAATAAAAAAATATTTCATTTAGCCAAAACTTTAAAATTCAATTTTAGTTCAGATCTTGAATGGGTAGGTATGATCTGGAAAATGCCTTTGCTTCTTTACAAAGCTCTAGATTTATTTTCTTGAGCATAAAGCCTTCGGGGGAAATTTAAATGCACTTACATGCACTACAATCATTTGTACCTGCTATTTCTTAAAAGAAAAAAATGTCAAATGAAATCACAAAGAGATTTTACAATGAGTTTTCTTTGATATTTTCAGAAATATCACGACAATTTTAAAATTTTAATCAAGATTTGATTTTATCTCTTTTTTGAGCTAGTATTGGTATATTTCTGTTTTATTCACCTTATTTTCTAATACTATCTGGGTTTTTTTCCTAAATAATTCATTTCATAAAAATATAATTGTAATTCTGTCATAAAAGGGAAAGGAATCATAACATTAGCACAATCACTGTTTTGGGCATCTCTTAAGGAGAATTGTAAAACTCAAATTTTATTTCATAGATCTGTAAGCTTCCTCAGCACCCTGTCAAATGCCAATCAGCTTACAGTGTTTCCATCCCCTGTAAATTTAGTTTATTATATTCTATCAGGACTACTCATGAAATCCGTCCACATATAAAAGGGGGGGGGGATCCTCCGTCCGTCGCATGTATTTAAACGCCCTTGATAATTTACTTCACATTCCTGTAAATCATAACCAAGTTCCATTTCTCGTTTCAAATATTTCATTTAATAAAGACTTCAATGAAATATAACAAAACAGTCAGTACATCTATATGAGTCTAAGTCCTAGCTTAACATCTCTGGCCTAATAAAATACAGTGGATTGCCGTGTCCGTGCGGTGGAGAAATTATACACTACTTAATTTGTATTAGTTTACATTGTTTTTTTTCATACCTAAGTCGCTAGTAATTTACAGTCAGTGATGTTGATGACGTAATATGATCTATAAATTCTATTCGATATACATAATAAAATAAGTTCAACAAACAATTTGTAATAAAAGGGACACACACAATCCATGGCGTAGTAATACAATAATGCATACACAAAAGTATTACGCTAAACATTCAAGTTCCAAAACATTTCGTCAAATAAAACATAATTAAATGACAATACTGCAATATTAAAAATAACATTTAAGAATCTATTATGAATATTTGAGGACACGGACAGTGTTATTTCGATCAGATCAATTGTAAAACAACAATGTTTATGTCACAGGACTATTTTCTTCGTAAGAAAGATGGCAGGCGCCCAATTTACAATACATGTGATAATGCTGAAATAAGTAAGTAAATTACAGTCGTAATGTGGTAGATAATGGTGAAAAACTGACATACAACATCTCAGTATAACTGTCCCTTACTGTCTGTTCAACGATATCTCACTAGATCGTCTAGTAACACAAAACAGCATTTGTTTACATTACAATGTCGAAGTGCAATGTGTATTGCATCAATAATTCAAGTAAACAATAAGATAATGAAATAACATGAACAATAAAACATTTCTTATAATTTACAACTGGATGCTACTTTACATCACTAAGACACTCCACCATCAGCCTGTGATTAATATGCAATATTCTTAAGTCCAACCACCATGCATATTGCAGATCTTTAAGACATCCCTATTAATTTATGGTTTCACAATATAGATATTTGATTTCTTTTTACTAAAAAATAATTGATGGAAATAAAATCATTATTTGTGAATATTTTTTTTAACTTGTGGTTAAAATTTTCACAACATATAGGGAGAACATGTTAGATAATCATATTTCAAAGTGAAACTGAAATTCTGTGAAATCACTTATTTTTGTGGGGGTTTAATTTTCGATGTTTTTGAAGTATAAAGAGACCCACAAATTTATGCTCATCACGAAATGTAAATTTTCAAATGTACGACTACTAAAAAGTTCTTCATCCACGAAATCAAATCCCCATGAACCAACATTTTTTCCTCAAACCACGAAAATTTGACCCCACGAAAATATGTGATTTTACAGTAAATTGGTAAATCTTAGAGAAATTAAATAAATGTATTTAATTTTGCCCAATCATGAGTAAATTTAAACTTATCCCAACCAGCTTTGTTTAATTATTGGAAATACATGTAAATAACATTTGACGGAGAATACTAGCTTGATAAGGTGTAATATGGGCTAAAAATATTTGATTTGACAATCAGATAGATTTTTTCATTGTTAATACAAGAAGGAGGCAGCAATTTATTACTATTTACAGGGTTATTTGTCCCGTGTTATTTTCGCCCCTCCACACTTGCAATCAATTTTGTCTTATTTTAAATTCTACAAGTCAGAGTTTTGTTTAAGAAACCATAATGTGTTCTTTAGTTTTGCACCGTTGTAAATTCACCCACCTGCTTAAAGGGCGAAGGGGCGAAAATAAAATGTGGGCGAAATTTACCCTGTATATAGTACAGTATGTTTTATTCATATTGTGTTTTTTTTTTTTTTGTTTTTTTTTTATTTTTGTTTTTTTTTTTTTTTTTTTTTTTTTTGTTTTTTTTTTTTTTTTTGGTGGTGGTGGGGGGGGGGGGGGGTGGGGGGTTCAGTTTAATTTTAATCGGAGTTGTTCCAAATACATAAAAATAAATTTTCCTCAACTTTCGGAATTTCATTCCATTTCTCTTTTAACTATGATTGACAAAAATGAACTCCCTACTTGTGACTAGTTTTGTGGAGTTTTCAACTGTAGGTTTAAAACATATTCAGAAATAATGTATTTTATTTTTCATGAATAATTTTTTATTTAAAAAATTAAAAAGTGTACCCAGCCTTTTCTTATATATTTATCAGTCATTCATATTATGGATTTATTTATAGCATGTTTAAAACTTTAAAACACTTTATTTGCAACACTATTTTTTTATTTTCTCTGAAAAAATACACAAACAAAACATATAAGATAATAATGAGCTAATCATGGTTTTTCTATGTTGAAAACATTTTTAGAAAGGGATGACATTAAGATTTATTAAATAAAATTCTGGTGTGGCATTCCTCCTTAAGACAAAATAATCAATGCATATACTGTACTAACAATTCAAAACTTCTACTCTTCCCAGATACTTGTTTCAAAAATGGCTTTCGTTTTAGTAATAGGGTACACATTGATCTCCGAAAGGTCACAAAATTTCACATTTTTAGATTTACTTAATTTTATTCGAATTTCGTACCGACTCTATAGATAATTTGTTCCAACACAGACTGTAAACTAAATTGGCTGATTGACATTCCCATATCAAATGTACTGTGCATACATGTAAATATCATAGAAAGGCCTTGAGCCCTACTGTGTTTCCCTCAGTAAACACTAACTTCGAAAGTGACAAAATTTTAAAAACACTAATTAAAGTAAATTTTGTATTTATTTCCAATTAGGAATCCTCTTGTGATTTCCTAGCATGCTCTAAATCATAACAAGTGTTGTATGGTTTGAAGAGAAATATCATATAAAATTCATATTCGCAAAGTTTCAACAGATTTAAACAGTGTTCTAACAAGTATAAGAAGAATATAAAAAATGACTAATATCAATCACTCTCTAGAGTCCATGGGGACAATACAAATTGGGAGCAAAGCAAACACAGACTTTTTCAAACATCAGAGGTAAGATCAGGTGTCATGAATTTTTTTCGAAGGAGTAAGCCTTCCCTGTCGACCAGTTGCATTCGACGTGTGCTCCTCGCCATAAGCAGGCAATCAGGAATAACCCGTAGTTTCAATGTTTAAAATAATGTCGAAGATTATTCTAATAATTCACAAAATATTTTACAATTTGTAAACAAATATACATCGGTCAGCATTGGATTGTTTCGCCTATAGAATTTGCGATATATTGACCTCATCGATTCTTTTGATATCCGTGTATCTTCAACTTTTTGTCAGTCGCTTTTCAGTTGCAGAAATGATTTGTACATAGAAGATTTTTTGTATATTTAATCAACTGAGAAATATTTACTCCATATACAAATATAATGGTATATTGCTACATACATACAAGCAAGAAATTTCAGGATAGAAAAGATGAAATTACGCTTAACTATAGTTTGTCATTAATCATGTTAATAAATAATTTTTTTCTCTGTTAAACATAAACAGCGTGGTGTCCTTTATTTTGATTCAAAGAAAAATATCAAATCAACTAAGGAATGGAAATGAACATTTTCAATTCTAAGATGTCAGTAATATAAACAGGCCATCATAAAATGCAATGCAATGTGTCATTTATTTTTAGAATAACAAGATACTTTTTCATCTATAATGAAAATTGGATGACAAGCAACATACAGAAGAGGATGCTTTCTGATTACAACTAATTACGATCTACTCCACCCAACCCCCTCAAGATCAAAAATGATCTTCCTCTTTGAATTCTCTTTTTATTTCTTTTAAACGTTGAACAGAAAACTGATTTATATTAAATGTCTAAGTTTCAAAATTGACGTACCTTTCTAATTTCTAAATCTATAATTTGTATCCCATGTTCTCTCAGACAAGCACGTCGAATTGCAAGATTGATTGTCTTTTATCTATTGTTTTGACATAATCAGAAGAACTTGACGTCATACACATGTACTTAATATTGTAAGTTGACGAAATTAAAATTAAATACATTATTCAAAAATACCGACAAAAAGATTTTTATTGGAAAGTAATAAACCATGAACAAGTTCCCTATAAAACAGCCATTTTCTAAAGGAAATATCATTTGTAGCTTCTTTTTATATAAAATATTCAAAATGGACTGTTTTCTAATGTTTATATTTTGTCAACGAAGAAGATAGTACACTCTCTAAAATAAGTCAATTTATATGAAAAATAAAATATTTACATCCACTGAATATTATTGCCTTTATTTCTTAAAATACATAGACAATTATCAGTCTACAAACGACACTAAACAAGTCACCTGCATAGATTTCTTGATCAACAATGCTCCGTCAATTTATAATTTATATATATAATATCACAACATGAATCCAGAGAAAGAAGAATATTTTGGGTAAACGGATGCTGTTCCTGAAAAACATTTAATGGAGGCTTTGTCTCCTATTTCCAATCTTAAGACAGCCATTTTACTGCACGACATGTGAATGTCGTGACCATTATTATGACAATGGTTGTATACATTTGTTTTACTATTTATATACAAAGCGGTATAAGCGTATTTGCTTTGGTGCGTCACGGTTGTCCAGTCAAAGACATACACTCCTGATTTGGGGGCGGTGAAAATTCCCTTTGCTGCGTTGAAACCTCCTCCTTTATTCAAATCAACATCTCCAAACATGATAGTACTTCCGCTACTTACTGTTTGGACACTTCCTTTGGTTTTCGCATTGAATGCAATAACCATGTTTCCTAAAAAGACACATTAAAAGGTTTTTAGTTTCTTTAATTTAATATAAATGCGTGTTAATCTACAAATTAAAGAAAAATCCTTCGATTTATCCCATTTACTTACTTTTGTCTCGGTTATTTTTGCAATGATCCTTAACATATCCAACAGCCACACATGTTTTGGCTATACTGTCATAGTCGTCCCTGAAGGATTTCAGACCTGGTCGAGGTGATTTTTTCTCAGAAGCTGTGATGCCAAGAATTGCACTCAATCCCACAACAAATACATGGAACTGCATTCTATAGCAAAGACGATACGGAATTGTAAAAAAGATGTTAAATTTGTAACTCTATATATTTTTTATCAATCTTCTAAAATGTCGAAATTTTTATGTCATTTTCGTTCTAATTTTAATAATATAAATGCTTAAATATATTGGAGTGGAAATACGTTTTTTATATTAAGGATTAAGTTCAATTCTATAGATTTTACTTTTTATTTCTTGTCTTTATTATGAAGCTATGCTTATTTCAATCCTCTGCAGATAGCTACATATAAGCATCTATATACATGTATATTCATTAAAACTAGGCTATCCTTTAGTTATTATGAAGTCAAAAAAATATTTGGTCACCCTTTAGTAACTATCAGCAAAATAATTAGACAGAAGTACGTGTTCTCACCTGTTTTAGAGCCGTAGATTTTTTTAAACCTTAGTAGAAGATGGTATGCTACTTTCCCTTTGTCATCACCTTATATATTTTAATCGAACATAGCGTGATATACTGCAATTTGGTAACATATTGCAATTATATTGTATGATACCTATATAATGAAAAAAGTATACTGCAAAAAAATAATTTTAAAAAGTTAAAGTCATGAAAACATCATGAACAATGTACAATTGAATTAATTTTAGCCGATCTCGTTTGAAATTAAACGAATCCCAACCAGCTTTGTATAGTTATGGGAAATACATGTAAAGAACATATCACAAAAATACTAGTTTGATTACGTGTAATATGGGTAAAAAAGATAATTGAACTTGACTATCAAATAGATTTTTTAACTTGTATATCCAAGTAGGAGAAAACAATTTATTATTTCATTCCTTTTTTAAACCTAGGGTTAAGACATTTTATTTGAACATTTTAAACTTAGACTATATTTATTTCATATTCATTTTAGGTATTAAAAGCAGGGATTGGGTAATGGTAATGTGTAATGGTAATTGACTGTAATTAATTACAAATTTCGATGTAATTGAAAGTATTGTGTAATTGACCAAATTTTCAGCTACAAGTCACGGTAATTTAATTCATTACTTTCCAAAAAGGCATGTAATTCACAATTACTTTTCAATTACACTGATTTTAAATAAATGAAAAATAGTCTCCTCTTCCACAATTTCATAAACATTATTTATAAAAGGTTAATAACATATTGTAGACCAAAAATTTTAATAGTAAAATTTCTTGAAAAGAACTACCCTTTTTATGTCAATTGTTGTTTAAATACAATGCCCCTTTTCATTAAAAAAAAAAAAAACTTTAAATCAAATTAATCTTTGTAAAGTTTAAAAATAAAATTCATATTTTGATTTTTTAATTAATTAAACAATATGAAATTAAGAAGTCCAATGGCTTCTAATCCTTTTGTTGGCCATATCTTTAGCTTGTGTTGGAAGTTATTAACAGGTGCTAATTAGTGTCCTGGGGTCATATACTTATTCCTAAATAAACATTTTTCACACTTTTGACTTTGTCTGTTGGTGATTTCAAACATACTTTTGGACTTTAAATTGTAGTTTGGCACAGAATAAGTCAAATATCCAAATTTTGAGGTAAACCTATGATGCTGAAATAAGGAAATATAAAGGTAAATAAAACATCAAAAGTACATTTAGCATAAATTCATCACTTTTTTATGGGAAAGCTTAAATATGATTCCAAAATTTAAACATATGAATTAAGGTTAAACCATCTGTAAACTTTGTACTAGTCAGCATAATCTACACGTATGCATTTTTCTCACAAATACCCCAGTGGAAAGAATCTTCAGCATGACAGGAAAATGTTCAAATTAATCGAAGATATATGAGTTAGGGGACACAGTATTTGAAAAACGCGGGTATGTTAAGGAAGCATATAAGTCTTTTCTCGGAAAATTTAGACTTTTTAAAGAAAATTAAGTTTGATGAATTACCAAAATCGCTGATAAATGTAACCTGTTAGTAACTAATGCATACAGATAAAAGAGTGTCTAACGCAAAGACGTGCACCACCACCACGGCATCACGTGACTTCTATTAATAGCGAAATTTTCCTTAATAAAAAAGCTAACACAACAACAATACCCCGGAGTTTAATAACTTCTTTGAGTAAATAATATCGTTGAAAAACATCTATTTTGATGAGAAAGTGCTGCTAGAATCCCACAGTCCTGTCAATAAAATAATTATTCCACATATTCGCGCGAAACATTACCCTACGTTTTGAATTTTATGCATATGAACCGAGATTTTTCGTAAAACCATGCTTAACTCGGGATTCTAGCAGCACTTTCCATGTTTGTTATAAGGCAAACTTTCCATCAATACAAATCTTATGTTTTGAAATATCCAGCTTATTGTTGTTCTGTTGCATTATTTTTGTCACGAATGACAGATGAAAGGCCGACCGGGATACGTACAGACTTTTGACAAAAGTATCGGAACGATTTACGTTAGTTTATTTATTGATGCACATGTTCGCGTTATTTATAGCTGGCATTTTCGGTGTAGACACAATTTGATGCTACACCTTGGGTTTCTTTAGGTTGATGACTACTTCCTGTTTACATTAACTACGTCATTATTTATCGTCTGCAATCTAAAAGTAAGTAAAATCTGTCCCCAAAAATCATGGCTGAGAATCGTCATTATGCATCGGATGGTCTTAAAAAATCCGTTGTTTTATTAGTTCAAAATGGAAATTCTTTTCAAAAAGTTGCAGATATGCTTAAAATGTCTAAAACAACTGTGCATCGAATTTATAAAAATTTTTGTGAACGAGGAACTGTAAAAACCCCAGTGGGTATTTTTCAAGATGATAATGCACCAGTTCATCGGTCTAGGGCAACGAAAGCTTTCATGGAAAACAGCCATATCAATACACTGTACAATGGAGTGGCCAGCGCAGAGCTCCGATATTAACATCAAAGAAAATTTATGGTTAAAGATTAAAAGAAAAATAGAACAATCCATGCATGAAATAACTTCTGTGGAACAATTATATGATAAAATATTTTCAATTTGGACTCGTTTTGATTGCGTAACAATTCAAAATTTATATCGATCTCTCCCCTCAAGAATCGCCGCGGTACGTAGGGCCAAAGGATACATCACAAAATATTAAGGTAAGTTTTAAAAAAATAACCTTTGTTTTAATCAGAGAAATGCAAAATTGGTTCTTCTTTCAGAAAATGTAATTTATATTTATTAGCTTTTACGTTATATGGCTATTTTAAGCATCGAATCAAACGCGAGTATTTTCCAGATATAAAACGACGACGTAAATCGTTCCGATACTTTTGTCCACAGTCTGTATATAGCTGACTGTCTTCGGAAGAGAATATAATCAATGAAAATAAATTAGTATACCTGTTTATATAACTGAACTCCATATGAATTTCACATAATATTCACGATATTTCCTTTTAAACTCCATTTTATGTTTCTTTGTACATGTCCTCTTAGCCAAATTCTCTTTACACGATCGCGACGTGATCGATTCCCAATTCACTTGATGTACACATATGACGTCATTGGTGGTAGATTTTAATCAAGATGACAGATATATCATAACAAAATGAAAACATTTTATTTTTGTGAATGTTTACATGTTTCTATTCATTTTCTAGAGTTAAATTACATATCTAAATACCAATATTACGAAAACTTGTGTTCTAAAATTGACGCCATATCGCCTACTATGACGTCATAATGTAGCACTGATTTAGTCAAGTTAGAATATTTTGTATGCTTCCTTATCACCCTTGCGAATGTATGAAGCTTTTAATAATATTATTGTAAAAAAATGCTGTAAAATAATCTGTTATAGATGTAAAGGAATATACATGACTATTTACTCTTATACGTGTATTCTTGAATTTAATTTGTAATTTAATTAATTACATTCGCAGCACAGTTAAGGTGCGCAATGGAAATATCGACTAAATTTTGTATTTAAAAATGTATGTGTAATCGGAATGGCGATTATTTTTAGTACATTATTTATATCAGATAATTGTAATTATGATTAATAACTACATATCGAGGACGAAAATATTTTTTATTTAGACTAGTCACGTGATGCTGCAGTCAGGCGATTTTAGCACATTGACTTGCATTATTGATGTTACATATAAATATCACTAGTGCAAGGGCATAACCAAGTTTAATTTCCAAGTTTATTATATAATTATTTTCAACACACATTGTAGTTTCTAAAAAGTGCTGCGATCCTGTCTAATTTCTGCAATTTCATTGTTACAATTATATTTGTATGACCGAATGCTATATTTCTTGATGGTCAGCGGGATGAAATATTGATATAATTAAATTGTTTTTAAGATTTCATCAGGATCGCAGCACTTTTCAGAAACCTTAATAGTTCTAGAGTTGAAATGTAAAAGCTTATTATGATCCATAGAGAGTATGCCCTTGCACTAGATCGATTTATTAAGACCGCCACATTACCCTCCGGTGTACTTGCATACAAATATACGGCAGTGTCAATTAAATACGTAATGTACAAAAAATATATTAATAAAATAGTGAAAACGACATTAAATTCAAGTTATTGCTCATAGAATTTCTGTAAATAATATTTTATTTAATTAGAGAATAAATATTTTGTTAAGAAAATATTACTTGATCTGCCTCTTACTGCATACAAACTACGTCACGTTGTAAGAAATGACGTCATATTGACAAGTGTATTGCGATCAGTGACTTGTTTATAACTTGTTATGTGGGATT